CATATATATATATACATACATATATATATATATATATATATATATATATATATATATATATATATATATATATATATATATATATATATATATATATATATATATATATATATATATATATATATATATATATATATATATATATATATATATATATATATATATATATATATATATATATATATATATATATATATATATATAAAATTATGCTGTTTTTTACAGTATAAAAATTCACTGCGCCTATGGGAGAGTCTTCATATTATCCAAAAAATAAATAAATAAATAAACCTTTGTGCACACATGCACATACATTATTCACTCACTGGCCACTTTATTAGGTACACCTGTCCAACGGCTCAAAGCAGTATGCAAATTTCTAATTAGACAATCACATGGCAACAACTCATTTGTCAAGACATTGTCAAGACCATCTGCTGCAGTTAAAACTGAGCATAAGAATGGGGAAGAAAGGTGATATAAGTGACATTGAATGTGGTATGGTTGGTGCTAGACGAGCTGGTCTGAGTATTTAAGAAATTGCTGATTTACTGGGATTTTCATGCACAACCCTTTCTAGGGTTTACAGAGAATGGTCCGAAAAAGAGAAAATATCCAGTGAGCGCCATTGCAAATGTCTTGTTGATGCCAGAGGAGCATGGCCACACTGGTTCTAGCTAATAGAAAGACAACAGTAACTCAAATAACCACTCATTACAACCGAGGTATGCGGAAGAGCATCTCTGAATGCACAATATAGCAACAGAAGAGCACACCAGGGGCCACTCCTGTCAGCTAAGAACAGGAAACGTTGCCTGGTGTAAGGAGTCGATTTCTGCTGTGAAGTTTGGATGGTAGGGTTAGAACTTGGTCTCAACAACTTGAAAGAATGGATCCATCCTGCAATGTATAAATGGTTCAGGCTGCTGCTGGTGGTGGTGTAATTATGTGGGGGATATTTTCTTGGCACACTTTGGGCCCATTAGTACCAATTGAGCATCACGTCAATGCCACAACCAACCTAAGTATTGTTGCTGAACATGTCAAAAGGCAAAAGGGGGCCTACTGCATACGTGTGTGCATGTGTAATAAACTTATATCATATCTCTTGAAGTAAATTAGTCATAGTCACTACCATAGAAAATTGTGTCATTGCCGTTCAGTTGTGGACTTATATACTTTAATTTAGAATATAGCATTTTCTATATTAGAATTGACATATTTTTATTCATCCTATTTATATTTTAAATTGTACCTTATTTTTAAGAGATCCATTAGGTCCAATGACTTTTTCAAAGATGTGTTGACCCACATGTGCATCCACCGCTGACAAGGGATCATCCAACAGATAGATATCAGAATTCCTGTATACTGCTCGTGCCAGACTTACTCTCTGTTTTTGACCTCCTGACAGATTTAACCCCTGTGAACATTGTAAAAATGTAGTTAGCATTGTCTCTTGTGATACGATGCATATTTGTAATGTATAAGCTCACATTTAATAGCTTTTCCCACAATACATAAAAACTAATCCATATTATGCACCTTCTCTCCAATCTCTGTTGCATCTCGTGCAGGAAGGATCTCTAAGTCTGGTAGGAGGGCACAGGCTTCCAGTACTTTCTGGTACAAACTGTCTTTCTTCTCACATCCAAACAAAATGTTGTCTTTAAGAGTGGCATTCTGGATCCATGCTTGCTGAGGAACATAACCCACAGAGCCCTAAAAGAAAGTGTTAGCAAAATTATGTATTTAATGGATGCAAATATATATTTTAATGATGTTCCTACATTTACCGTGATTGTGATGTGGCCACTTTTCTTTTCCATTTCTCCAAGCATTGCAGACAAGAGAGAGGATTTTCCACTGCCCACATGACCAACTACAGCCACCAGTGAACCTCGCTGAACTTTGACATTGATTCTGAAATGAATTGTTGCCAGATTTTAATCTATAGGAATGATGGACCTTCAGAGATCTTTCAGCAGGTGTTATAAGTAAGTTATAAATATGTTTAAATCTACCTCCTGAGACATGGTGTGCTGTCTTTAGACCAGCTGAATGTGCCATTGTTAATAACAACACTTTCAATATCTGAAAGAGAAATAAATAGAGAGCCAATGAGTTTTTTCTTCAAGAAAACTGACGTTTTATAGACAACTTGTTCTACAGTATATAATGTTTTTAAGTCATTCATTGAAGCTGGATTCCTTCTTTTAAAATATAAAATAGCAACCTAGAGCAGAATATTCAGAATATCTTCTCACATTTATATGAAGAAAGAAAATCATACAGGTGCAGAACGGCAATAAGACGAGTAATTGATGACAGAAATATACAGTTAGGTCCAGAAATATCTGAACATCTGACACAATTCTAACATTTTTGGCTCTATAAACCAACACAATCTATTTGAAATTAAACAAACAAGATGTCTTTTAACTGCAGACTGTCAGCTTTAATTTGAGGGTTTTTACATCCAAATAAGGTAAAGGTTGTAGAAATTACAACAGTTTGCATGTGTGCCTCTCACTTGTTAAGGGCCCAAAAGTAATTGGACAATAATAATCATGAATCAAACTTTCTTTTTTTAATACATGGTTGCAAATCCTTTACAGTCAATTACAGCCTCAAGTCTGGAACACATAGACATCACCAGAAATTGGGTTTCATTCCTGGTGGTGCTCTGCCAAGCCTCTACAGCAGCTGTCTTCAGTTCCCGCTTGTTTTTGGGGCATTTTGCCTTTAGTTTTGTCTTCAGCAAGTTAAATGCATGCTGAATGGGATTCAGGTCAAGTGATTGACTTGGCCATTGCATAACATCCCACTTCTTTCCCTTCAAAAACTCTTTGATTGCTTTTACAGTATGCTTTGGGTCATTCTCCATCTGCACTGTGAAGCCCCGACCAGTGAGTTTTGAAGTATTTGGCTTAATAGGAGCAGAAATTATTGCCTGATACACTTCAGAATTCATACTGCTGCTTTTGTCAGCAGTCACATCATTAATAAATACAAGAGAACCAGTTCCATTGACAGCCAAACATGCCCATACCATGTCACTACCACCACCATGCTTCACTGCTTAGGATCATGAGCAGTTCCTTTCCTTCTCCATATTCTTTTCTACCCATCACTGTTACAAGTTGATCTTGATCTCATCTGTCCATAGGCTGTTGCTTCAGCACTGTGAAGGCTTTAGAACTCTAATCTGACCTTCCTGTTTTTGAGGCTCACCAATGGTTTACATCTTGTGGTGAACCCTCAGTATTCAATCTGGCGAAGGCTTCTCTTGGTTGTTGACCTTGACACACAAACACCTACCTCCTGGAGAGTGTTCTTGGTCTGGCCAACTGTTGTGAAGGGTGTTTTCTTTACCAGGAAGTGAATTCTTTGGTCGTCCACCACAGTTGTTTTCTGTAGTCTTCCAGGTCTTTTAGTATTGCTGAGCTCACTGGTGCGTTCTTTCTTTTTAATGCTCCAAACTGTTGTTTTGGCCACACCTAATGTTTTTGCTATCTTTTTTGATGGGATTGTTTTGTTTTTTTAGCCTAATGATGCTTGCTTGACTGATAATGACATCTCTTTGGATCTCATCTTGAGAGTTGACTGTAACAGATTCCAAATGCAAATAGCATGCTTGAAATTAACTCTGGACCCTTTATCTGCTCATTGTAATTGGGATAATGAGGGAATAACACACAACTGGCCATGGAACAGCTGAGAAGCCAATTGTCCAATTACTTTTAGACTCTTAACAAGTGGCGAGTAACAAGAGGAAAGTCTTGTAATTTCTACAGCATTCACCTGATTTGGATGCAAATACCCTCAAAATAAAGCCGCAGTCACACTAGGGTTACGCTTGCGAAATTCTATTGTATAGCACTGCAAAAAAGGGGTGGGATTAAACAAAATGACATTTTAAAAAGTGAGCGTTTTGTCCATATTTAAAATTTTCTTTCCAGACAGATCATGTATTGATTGGTCTCATGCAGTTAAGTAATGCGATTTCCCAACTTGCAACTTGACCCACGAACTTGCATTGTCGGTCTGACGCATTCGCATGCGTATAAATTGAAGTCTACGGGGAGAAAAGTCCAGTGTGACCACAGCTTTAAGCTGACAGTCTGCAGTTAAAGCTTGTCTTGTTCGTTTCATTTCAAATCCATTGTGTTGGTGTGTGGAGCCAAAATTTTATAATTGCATCAATGTTCAAATATCTATGGACCTAACAGTAATTTGGGGTGATGCATCTCTATACTGTGTGAATAAAAGCTCATAAAGCCATACCACATGGTAATAAGGCAACAGTGTGACAATTCTGGTTAATGCGTTTACATAAAAAAAAACCCATGCATTAACATAAGCCTGGCTTTGTTATTAAAAATAAAGCGAAAGCCTGGAGCTTTTCATTTATTTAATACAAAAAATATTTTTAATAAATCGGATATACAAACAGATCTTTAACACAAAATGTGGAAAACAGTTACATAAATATTGCTGAATTAAAGTGCTTAAATGATGAAGGCCTACACAACTGAGCTTGTCTTGCAAAAGATCTGCAAAAATATTCCTCAAGATGGGTGGTTTTGGTGAAATCAGTAACTCATTATTTGTTTATTTATATATTTCAATAATGGTTTTGGTTATGCCCTCCTGCTTTAGAATTCTTCCTTCACACTGATAGGGCAAACATCTCTTTATTGCACAACATGTAAAAATGTTCCTCTTATGAGGCATATAAGTGTTTTACATCATAGAAGAGTCTGAAAACACTGAAAAGCTAATGCACTCACTGGGATTGTATGGAACTCTCTGCACGCTATCAAGTTTCAGCTCATCTTGATCGAGAAACGTCCCAAGACGTTTGAGAGAAACCACCACCTTAGAATTGAGAAAAACAAATATTTCTCTAAATAAAGTGCTTTAACATTATAATACATATAGTGCATATATTACTGATGCTCACCTGCATAGTAGTGCTCATTGCAATTGGCAGTTGACTGAGTGGAGCTTTAAGTATGTTGATAAGAGCCATGGACACAAAGATTTTCTGAGCATCCAGAACATGCTTATCATCAATTAGCACATACACCCCGAACATGGCAAACGCAATCTGTAGGCAAAGTAGAGTAAGCCATATAATTATATAAATGTTAGGATTATTTGAAAAAATATGGTTTTGCTGATGTCTCTGAAATATACCAATAATGTTGATGAGTTAAAGGAGGCGATGGAAACGGAGTAAAGTATCTGGGACTTCTTCAGAGCATTCAGCTCTTTTTCCCTGTATCCCAGCACTCGCTCTCTGAAGGCCTTTTCCCAGGCATAAAACTTAAGGATCTTTATGCCACTCAAGATTTCGTTCATCAACTTTATGCGTTCATCCTTATGTTTCATCTGGACCTCCTGAAAGCAGTAAATGCATGCGAGTTCAGAATATCTGTAGACTTGAAGCAGATTGACGACACTGTGTCTCAGTGGAACAACATGGACAATACCTGGAGCTTGCTTCTCATTTTGGCAATAAACCCATTTAAAGGAAAGATGAGTATCACAGTGGTGATGCCAGCCAAGGTGGATGGACCGAGATGCTGCACAGGGGCGAGACATTGAAAGAATTAAAAAATTAGAAAATTTTGTCATTAACAACATTGAAATTGATTTACTCTCAGAAAAAACTGCAAAATTATACTTTAACGTACAAAACAGCTTGCCACTGGGTAAAGATTCTAAATGTGTACTCATTGTCCTTCAATCTAGGCTTTTACGTGAGGTGGAAATACTCCTATGCGTATATATTTTTATCTTTATTTGTGATTAAATAACAATATTGGAAATTAAAAACTAACAGAAACAATAATAAAACAAATGAAGTAATTAATTATGTCGAATAAGTACATACAATGAAATGAACATTTTTATATTAAGGTAACTGTGATTCTGTGAATGGTGGAAAATCGTCAGAAAAGGTCATTACATGGTGGAAGGAGTCTCATCTCTCACACTACATGGCATCCCCATCTCCAGACAGAATCTCAGTGCTCTATTGTCTAGTGTTCAGTTCTCTTAGTGTTCTTTTTTACTATTCTAGACGGCCAGAGATGGTCATTACATGGTGGAAGGCAAATGCAGCCAAGTCACGAGGAATAGGCTCAAACATCCTCTAAGTATAGCAGAACTGTTCATAGAAGTGGCCACATTCAGAAAATAAAACCCTGTGAATGTACAAGGTGATGCTCATGTAGCTGCCGTGCAGATATCTGAAAGAGGCACTCTACATATTGCTGCATCAAAAGTAGTGGAATGATATTTACACTATATGCTTCAAGAGTAGAGTCTGCCACCTAATGAGCAAGCTTTTTGGATGAGGTTGCACAGAAATAGCTGGTCAGTGGCACATCACCATGGTAAAGTATACTTTGCATAATTTTTGTAACTCATACATTTTTTTTTTTGATTATTTGAGCTCTGTCAGAATTGTCACTTGCTCAATATTACCTTGCCATTTTTGGTAAAGCATAGAGATGACTAGGGTTATTTCTATAGAAGCATCTGTTCTTACCTGCCAGAGGAAGAAAAGACACAAGGCGATTTCAATGGGTGCCAGCCACAATGCATTAAAGTACATTACGAAATCCACAAGTTTTTGGGTGTCAGCTGAAACCAAGTTCACTATCTCTCCGACTGTACATGTCTTGCGGGCTGCACTGTTGATGACCAGAGACTGTGGACAACCAGAGTAAATGTAAGACCCATTTATTGCCTCTTTGCATTTGCTAGTAAACACTTAAGATTTACCTTCCGGTACACCAGGCCCATAACTGCAGTTTTAACCCTCATGCCAACTGTTAAGCAGGTATACATGTACTGATGGTTAAATAGGGACTGCAGACAAGACAACAGGAACAGAGAAAAGGCGAAGAGGTAACCCTTCCACAAGGGGGCATCTTCATCCCTCACATAGCCAAGCAGTAAACTGAAGAACAAGAACAAACATTATTATGATTTACTGAGACCCAACGATTAGCATGCCATTATATATGTACAGTACTGTGCAAAGGTTTTAGACCACCATTACATTTGTTGTTTTAGTGATGGTATCGTAACAATATATAATTATTTAACATGTTTTATATTAAAATACAACCAGAACATAGAAAGATAGAGTCGGATTTTTTGTTTTGTTTAAGACCTTTCATTCATTCATTTTCTCATTGGCTTAGTCCCTTTACTATTAGACTTTGTGAATGGCAAGGTGTAAATAAGTTCATGTTTATTATAGATATGTCATTTAATTATAGACATCTCTTTGTTTAAAGTAGAATTTGTATTTGTCAATTTAATGTTTTGTGTTTGTAAAAGAAATGAATCCATTTATTCAGCAAGAATCCATATATTTTATAAGCTAATCATAATTTTAGATTAATTACACTAGATTGAAGGCTGGATTAATAATGCTGAATATCACAAACATAAATGATATTTTAAAATGCTTTAAAAACTTTTACTTTTATTGCATTTATTTATTGCTGTGTTTTAATTTAATACATGCAGCCTTGGTGAGCTGATCATTGCTTTTAGTTTTCAATGCTGGATCATTGCTGCTGCTCTCACCTTAGTACTTGTGGGATGGAGAACATCAAAGCATCTTGGATGACAAGAAAGAGAGTCCCAGTCAGAAAGTAGGGGCTGAATATTTTGGCCAGTGTCCTAAACAGAACAAAACCTGTACACTGTTCCTTAAAGAGTTTTCTGAACAGCTGCTTAACACAGGAACTCAGCTTAAAACCAAGTGTTTGCGCTTCATTCAGAGAGCTCTTTTTCCTGTGGAGGAATGATCAGACACACATGTAACTAGCCAGAAACATTGTAATCACTGCTGGAATAGTTATAATCTTAATTAAACATTCTTGAATCCAAACATTTTTTGGAGTAAATATTCAATGTTGGCACAACAATTAATAAAATCATCATCTCAGAATGGAAAACGTGCATTTAAGGACATAGCAGGTGTCTTACTGTTGCAGTTTGGCCCATTGTTTTGCCCACTCTTTTTCTAGATCACAGATGATTTTTTCAGATGTGTCCTCTTCTCGTAGAGACCAGAGATCTTCAGCTTTTAAAGGTGAGCGGTAGCCCTTCACCACCAGTCTGTGGAGCACAAATATCTGCATTTCTCAGTATATCAGTGATCTTTTATTCTCCAAAGCTTTTCAACAATCTCAGAAGTCCAGAAAAGAGACAGAGAGGCGACTCTACCTGCCGTACCACCAGAAAAGTAATTTTGACAGGAAAGAGGCATCCTCAACTGGACATGGGTTCTAGTGAAAAAAACAAGGTATTAGCAATTTTAACTATTTACCAAACATTTAAAAAATCAGAAAGGTGACACCTTTCAACGAGCTGTTCATAAGACTGTCATGAAGCCTAATATAATATACAGAATGCAGATATTAGAGTTTAGAAAAGACTTTAGCTTAGAATAAGTTTGGCACAAATAGTGCACAGCGACAGTGCAGTACACTGGATGTACGATGGATCTGACGCTCAAACTCCTTCATGAGCTGGTCAGGATACTCATGTGGACGCATCAATTACAAACATGCTTAAAAGAACCTAATCCCCGCCAATTGACTGAGAGCTCTGTGTTTTTTCAGACATGAAAACAGGGAGCGGTAGAGTCTAGAAATGACACACATGCGAATCAACCCCTTCAAGTAAAGTGTTACCAAATAATAAGTTCGGTCATAACATTGATGAAGCTGTACCTTCACATATACAGGTTTAAGAGTGTCTGGCCGCTGGTCAGCGAAACAGCTGAGGATGAGCTGTGCCAGCTGAAGAGAGAAGAATGTGAAAAATGCCGCAAATCTCATCGGATCTGCAGAGAAACCCTGTAAAACACATGACTGGTTATCAGTAGGATGTAGACAGCACTTTACACAGAGACGGTACACTCATTTTAATAATTCAATTCATGTTTATTTCTATTTTACAATGTAGATTGTGTCAAAGCAGCTTAACATAGAAGTTCTAGTAAATTGAAACTGCTTCGGTCCAGTTTGTCAGAGTTTAAGTTCAGTTTAGTTCAGTTCAGTGTGGATTAAATTTCACTGCTGAAAGTCCAAACACTGAAGAGCAAATCCATCGATGCGCAGCTCCACAAGTGCAAACCAAGCAAGCCAGTGACGACAGTGGCGAGAAACAAAACTTCATTAATTGACTGCTAAAGCATGATTTCTTACCTATTACAATTTCATACTGAAGAAGAAGAACTTACCTTTTTTTCAAAGAATCTTAGAGCCAGTTTTGTACCATATTTAAGTATGGTGCTTTGACCTTTTGAGTTAAGGTTTATTCATTTTTTAGTCAGCACTTCTTAGCACAAAATGACTACCACAGTTTTATTATTTAAAAATGATAGGATTTGATTTTCCACTCTGTTGAGATCACCAATCAAGTACACAGAGTGATCAGGTACACATTTGCCAGGGATTTCTTAAGGAGTCATTCACTACATAATAAGCTTCATTATTCCTGTGTGGTTTCCATATTAGAATACTTTTATGAGGCCACTATAGATAACTTTCTCTGAATTTTTACAATCTGTGCTGAATTTACTCATAAAACTATGATAAAACTATCTTTTAATTACTGCATTATTATTAATAAATTACATGTACTCATGTAAATGTAGAATATTACTTGTTGACTGAAATAGTATGTTATTGATAGCGTTAGTAAAATAAGTTATGCGTACTTGTAAAATTACTTGTACTAGTTGAACTTCAGTTGTGAGATGATCACAATAAAGTGTCAGCAGACATTGAGAAGACTGAAACTCTAATGACTACAAGCTGATGTAGTTAATGATCATCAGCGGGACAAAGGTGACATTTAATAATGTGTTACCCATAATCAATTATTTTGTTATACCACTGTGGGATAATAGTGTTGATGTACAGACCTCCTTTATGTTGGCTTGTATGTTGGCTCTGAGAGGCACCAGTGAGCAGACCACCGAAAGCATCCAAAACAGAAAGAGAAACACAGAGGAACGAAAGCCCCTCAGCCTTTCTAAGTGGATCATCAACATCACCAGTATCTGAGGACACAGTGGGGTCAGTTTAGAAACATCCAAAAACATTTTGGAGCATTTGACCATATTTTTAAACAATTTGAATTATGACTTTAGACTTAATGTTTTTCTGAGTTTCATGTTTCATAACAATGAAAATTTTGAAATAGAGTCATTTGAATCTTAATACCATATACTTTTAAATAATTTACATATAGTTATCAATGTGGAGGTTCAGAATATTAATAGTGTGATTTACCATGGTAAGGCTACGGATAATAGGGCTCAGGAGAAAGACCATGAGATGCTCTATGTCTCTGCTTCTTTCCACCAGCAGGTAGACCGTCTCCAAAAAACCAATGGAGGCCAGACAGAGAGCCAAACCCTACAAGATGTGCACAAAAACATGTGAGCAACACTATTCTGTCATTCCCTCAACAAATGTTTTACTTGCATGTCTATTCTAATGTTGGGGGACGGTTGAGTCTTTGATGCTTTTCAATTTATTCTATCATTTATTTATTTAAATATATGTAAAATAGTTTGTTATTGTGAATTGTCTATATAATTTCTTCTCACATGATTTTTTACAAATCAACCTAACATTGGGATGACTCGGATGACACTACACTGCAAAAAATGCTTTTTTTAAATCTTGATTTTTAAAAAAATCTTACTTTTGTCCAAATATCTAAAAATTCTTAAATTATCAGTATTTTCTAGACAAGCAAAAAAAAATTCCTGTTTTAAAAAACTTAAAAAACTTTTTTTTTCTTAAAACAAAATAATAATGCAAAATAATCTTCCAATGGGGTAAGCTAAATAATTTTGCTTTCCCTTTTGACATAAGATTATTTTGCTTACCCCATTGGCAGATTTTTGTGCTTGTTGTAAGGAAAAACTGACTTAATTTTGACATATTATTTCTTAAAACATGACAATGTATTTTGCTTGTCTAGAAATGCTTCTTAATTTAAGCATTATTTGATATTTGGACTAGAAACAAGACAAACAATCTTTAAAAAAGGCTTTTTTGTGGTCTAGTTATTCTAACTAAAAGTATTTAGTGCACTTTTGTGGTCTTTACTGTGAACATTTACTGTTAACCAGCACATTTGAGCAACTTAATTCATTCTTGCAGAATAAAATGTTCAATTATTTAAGGAGAGAGAGATCTTTCTGACCCTAAACCTTTTCACCAGTATTGTTTTCCCTATTAGACTTGACTTACACACACTTAAAATTTGGGTTCTTTATTGGGTTCGATGAGAGAACCTTTAGTCTTTACCGTACAGTTGCATGAAATGTTCTTTGTTGTTGAAACAGGTTCTTTATGATATTTAGATGGTAAGATCTTTGAACAGAAGGGTCAAAAAAAGGCATTCAAAATCACATTTGTGCACCTTTTTATTTAGGGCAGCTATGATGTGATATGATCTGTTTATCTGTTCTTCCCACAGAATTAATTTCTTGTCTTTAGAAAGGCATTAGGATAAAAACTAGAACGTGACTAGTATTACTTACCATCTTGGCACAGCAGAGGCTGGATATAGATATGCGTCCATTGTAATAGAATTTGAGATACAAGCAGTAGAAAGGGGCACAGATCCAGAGATAGAAACAAGGGAACCACACCAGTATCGTGTGCTGGAAGCACTTTGTGAGGTCTGGATGTTCTGTGTACCACGTGACGTTCCAATCCTGAAACATTAAACCATTAGACCTCTGAAACTCCTTAACATGTAACATAAGGAATTATAAATATCTACACAGGCATAATTATCTATAGACCTGAGTTCAAGTTAAACGGTTATTTTTTTATCAATTTGTGAACTAGAGAAAACTATTTTCAAATATTGGAAACTACAGAAACAGATAAAATTAAGATGCCCTGTATTTTCTTCAGACATTTAATACTGCAAGAAAATGTTAGCTAGTTGGTTCAGCACACTACAGAAAGCATGATCGTGTCAGACTAGACAGCAGTCTCCTAACTCCTCATGTGCCTGCAAACTGGCAGATCTCGCCAACTGGTCTAAGACTTACCCAGAGAGGGTCCAGGCCACTGAGACTGCAGAGGGTGTCCATCCAGACTCCACTCTTTTTCCCTTCCTCAAGTAAATCCCTCAGCAGTGTCTCACTCTCCTGCAAGTGTCGTCTCTGCCGGCGAAGTAAGCGTGTTTGATAGTAGTTGTCCCTGTGTGTGTTTCAGACCTGCTTTTTTGGCCCCTCCTGACTTGTGTCTCGTCTGAGCTACAATCTAAAATCAGGTTTGTGTAACCATCTGGTCACACCTCACTCTGCTTTAGGTCTTGCCTCTGTAAACTTCCCAATCCCACCCTCACGTGGAAGCATATTAGTAGCAAAATCAATTTAGCAAAGTTCTCTACAAAACGGCAATGCAATATGTAAAATACTAGTGTTAATATTGTTAAATTTAGCATTTTCTATGACATAAAGTATGTGCTATATTATTTACATTTGCCATTTACAACAACAGTTTTGATATTATATACTAACTTTAGCACTTTATAAATTGGAAAATTCAACTGAAAGTGGAATACGCAAATTGAATAAATGTGTGTAACGTAAATTTTATGTGCCCCTTTTTCATTTAAACTCAGGGTTAGGAAAGAAGAATTGCAGTTTCATAATTAGACCTTGTGTGGGATGTTTTAGTAAAATGAAATATCTATTTCAAAATTAATTCAGAACCAAATGTATAACAAAAATGTCTCAAAATTGGATGTAAATGTATTTGAATGCATTGGCACTGACAGTCAAGATTTCTGAAAAATCAAATCAATTAATGTCAAACAAACAGAACAAATACAATCATAAACACAGAGACAAGCAAAATGTAAATATTAAAAAAGCACAGGAAATATACTCAGAAACAGACAATGCCATGGGATAGCAAAAACAAAAATAATGCAGTGAAATTACATCTTAAACAGACGCGAAAGATGAATATAAAGAGACAGTTTTCATTGCTTTTGGATTAATAGAATTTTAGATAGTTTCCAAACATTGGTCAAGGTCAATTCTGAATAAACCAAATAAAGGTTTAGAGCCAATAAACATTTATAAATGTGACACTTGGCTAACAGAAAACCCAAAAAATCTTTAAAACAAATAGAAAAGTCACATATAAAATAAAACTGAATAAAAACAATACGAAAGCAAATGAATGAAGTCTTTCTCCAAAGAGCGATGAAAGGAGTAATTCACATCAACATCAGACTTATATTTCTGAAGAAAGGCATTGGTTGGATTACATTTGTGAATTATTATTTATTTTACTTCATTGGTAAGCAGATGTTTTGAGAAATGCATTTTCATAATGGCTAGATCGCACACAAATAATTTAACCGGTTCTTCTTAGTGAACCAGTCGAATGAGTCATCACCTTGAATACTCACCTGAAAGTTTCACAATATTCTTACACACAGCGCAAGGATGCATCTACAAGAAACCAGTTTCCCCAAAAACCCTGAAACCAGTTTTTTTGACGTGAGAGTGAGTTTTTTTTTTTTTACATTCTATAGCACGGGTCACCAAACTTGTTCCTGGAGGGCTGGTGTCCTGCAGAGTTTAGCTCTAACGCTACAAACACAATTGAACATTCCAATAAAGGTTGTATTAGGTATTATTGAAACCTCCAGGCAGCTGTGTTAATGAAAGGTGGAGCTATACTCTGCAGGGACCCTTTAGAATAGAAATTAGAGACCCCTGGTCAATGATGTGTGCATATACATTGCTCATTTTCTATCAGCTGGTCTGTCCTTGCGTCAGTTTTCTTTTCACAGTAGATTAGTCCAGGTTTTACATTGTTAAATAAGCTAGCTCAAGAATGTTGACATGATTTTTTATGTATTTATTAATAATACATGTACAGATGAATTAGATTCAAAGATCAAGGTCAAAGTTTTTTTTTTTTTATTGTTTTTTATTGTTATTAATGTTGCTCAATGTAATGAACCTTAGTTTGAATGTAGATTAGGATTCGATATTTTTGTTCAATCTATTGTGTTTATGATGTTTAAACCCAAAAACCTACAACAGTAACCTGCTGGGTTCACTCCAACCCTCCTACCCCTTACCGTACAGTACTTGAAAAAATAATAATCTGTATTTATTGTTGTACAGGGTCACAAACAATAACAATTTAGTTTCAGTCTCTTCCACAGTTTACTGGTTTCTTAGCTTTAAGTTTGTCTACAATGATTTTCCAAAGAATTTAAATCAGGTTTAGATCAGTACTCTTTGCTGGCCATTTAATTTCAGACTCTTTGCATGACATTTCTATGTTTTCAGTTTCAAGGAACTGCTTTTCCCATTATTTTGTGAGATGGGGTGCATTGAGCTGAATGAAAACGTCTGGATGATTGGGCTATGAATGCAGGGAAGGAACTGCATGTCGCTGAAGGAAATTTTGATAAACATTTGCATTTAATTATCTGTACAGGAGATCAAACTCCTACTGCAAAAACTACACCAAACCATGATTCTTCACCTCCACCATTAAGTCTTTCTCCAGTTTGATGACAAACATAATGATTTTAATCAGACCAAAATAATGTTAGCACTTCGTTAGCAAAAGTTAGCTTTTCAGCTGAAGAGGTCTTTCGGGAAATTCTTTCAGGAGACACTAGCTGACTGTTCATCACCCTGTTTGGAGGATTTTAGTCACTTTAGAATGACAAATTGATTAAAAAAATGGGGTAAATTGATCTGAGCCAGTTGGTAAATTGACCAGCCTTCTGGTAAGCTGACCATCTCACTGAACATTAATAAAACTCAAGTAAAGTTTTTAATATAACACCTCTTTAATTTAATATTTTTTTCTTTTAAACCAATAAACATTGTTGCCAAAAGACTGATACCATATCAAGAACAATCAGAACAAGAACAATCACTCTACTAACAAAGACTGACCTACTAACTGAATAGTAAACAATGGAAAACAAAACAATGGAATGACATGCCAAATAAACTTGAAATCTGTTGAAATCTATACCTGTAAGGATATCTTAGAGCAGGACTAGGCAGTAAAGCAGTTCAAGTGTTTTTTAAATGATTTTTTAGTGGGTTTTCATCTTTTATTTGCCTATGAAAGCATTGGGACCAGAGAGAGGAAATGATCAGAGCTGGGAATCACACTTGTGTCAACGTGAGCAGCTTGATTCTGTTTGTCAGTGCACTTAACCACTAGGCTATTGGTGTCGACAGCAGTCGAAATCTTAATTTTAAAAAATTACTCAAAATCATTCAGATATTGTGTCTACATTAATCTACTTTTTTCAGTGAATATCTGTGTCATGAATTAGCTTGAAACTTTAAAGTGTCTTGTCCTACTTGTAGCTGAAAATAAGAAGGGCTCAGATAAATTGAATGTGTCCTGAGTTCAGATCAGTAAAGGAAACAATTCATGCCTTTATTGAGATGCGCAGAAACAGGTTTAGCTAGATGTTAGTATCAGAACAACTGACACCAGTGTGAGGAAATTGCAAAATGCCGTAATTGAAAAGTGTGTAAAATATAAAAAATATTGTGTATTTATATTGGTTAATGTGAGTGTAGATGAGCAAACATACTCTTGTCTGTGATAATGTCGTTTTCATGTTATAGTTATGTAGTTTTGGTGATAGTGGATAGATCTAAAGAAGTCTATTGAGACAAAGTTTTATTTTCTAATTGCATCACCACTATTCTTTATTTTTTTATTTCCTAAACAGTGAAAAGAAAGAAAAAAAGCAGGATTTTTCTTTTAGGAGAACTATGCTTTATTGGTTTTACCTAACTATGCTCTCTGTTTACTTTTTATTCAACTCTAATTACTGTAGACATTTATCAAAAAAACGTATAGATTGGTAGTAACATATATTATCTAAACATGGCGATGTGGCGCAAACAACCACAAAAGCATTTCATGGAGATGGGTTGTTATTGTTTTTTTTTTTTTTCCGTTACGCTCGGTGATTAATCAAAAGACCAGAGAAGGGTCTCACGACCTTAAGGTTAACTTCACACTTTCTCCAAATTTCAGGAGGTAAAATATTGACTCTATGATAAACACACAAATAACCAAATAACCAGAGAAGGGTCCCGTGACATTAAGGTTAACTTCACACTTTCCTCCAAATATGAGGAGGTAGAATATTGACTCCAGGTAATGCTGACACTACAAACCTCAAATTTGTGCTTTGCACCTAGTTGAGAGAGAGAACGAGCAGGCCTGATCAACTCACTCAAGATCTCTAAATTTTGACTCTAAAGGTGAGGGCTTCTTGCTGCACTCATTGGAAGCTCAGTCGTCGACACATCCTCAAACACACGTGTTGGTTTTCTAGTGTGACGGCAACAGGCTCCCCAGTCTTTGAAGAGGAAAATAATGGTACGTCTCTGAAGTTGTATGTATGTATATCACATTGCATTGGGTTTTATTATCCGTCTTTGATTCATTAAATCATTATTATTCATCTTTTTTTTCGTCTTTTATGCATTTGTGTTGTATTTCTAATGATGCTTATGAGTATTATTATTCATGATTATTGAACATTATTGTGATAATTAATAACTGTTTTCTCTTGTATGAACACAAACTGTACTAAAATCTTTTTTGATATGCTAAAACATTTTGCATACTAAAATTTTGGGGCACAATAAAAGAAGCATTTCTCACTTTTTCTATCACTGTTGTCCCTGCCCGTTTCCACACATAATGAATATTGCAGATGAAAGTATGGAGATCTGACTCACGTATCATGCATTGTGATTTCAGTGCAGCAGTGACCCATATATGAACATTTGCTGAGCCTGTTTCACAAATTCCCACGGTACCTGTAACCTAATCTTAGCTTTTGGAACTCTTTACGTCAATTTTATGTCAATTACTCCAAAAATGTTAACAACAGGTGAGTCTTTGCTGGTTTGTGTCTAATTGCGCAAAATACTATTGCCATTGGCACTATTGCTGATAGTTAACATGCTTAACATGGCTTAACTTCCAGTGAGCAATGTTAGCTCATTACGAAACATGTCTTCTATCACGTACACAGGAGTACACAGACAGGAAGAAGATGACTTTATGATGATTGATTGATTGATGTTGTATATATGATTTATTGAACACTTGAGTAATGACGTGCAGATCTTGTTAATGCAATTTAAAGTCTTTGTATTATTTTTGTTTTGGATTATCAGCAGGAATGTACGAGGAACACGAGACAGTGAAGACATGAGGACAATTGTGTCTGATATTAAACCGCTTGATTTATAGTTTTGTTATCTGTTATTTCCTGATTCCCTCATGTGTTTTGTGAGAGGAAT